ATGCTGTGTTTGAGATATAGAATTGGGAAATTGGATTGTAGAGTCCCATGTGTTAAAAGGTGACAACAGAACTTTGCCCATAAAACAACAGTACTGGTATAGTTAAGACAGACTAGACATATTGCCTTTGAAAAGGAAATACAGTTTAAGATTTTATATATCGCCTTTTACCAGGGGTGGGGTGGGTCAGTGGGAAGGAAACCTTGTTCAACTAAGGGCCCAGTATATTTTGAATCTTTGGCTTAGTTTTTCTTGATGGTAACCATTAATCAATCAGACTTATTATCCCATTGTAGTCTTGGTGCCATTGATGTACAGTAAGTCCCCAACTTAAGAACATAATGGGGACCGAGAGGCTGTTTGTAAGTTGATTTGTTTGTATGTTGAAAGTTGGATCTCCATTACCTTTTTTCCCTTTGTTTTAAAGTTTTGTTTAAATTATGAGTACCTGTAAATAAATCCCAATAAGTACAACATACCTTATACAGTACCAGACTCTTGAACTATATTCATGCCTGGGAAATTTGAAGTTTGCTAGCATCTTTCATACAATTTTTTGGACTTTAGTACCTAAAAAATTTTGTTTGTATATATGGAATGTTCACAAGTAGAATGTTCTTAAGTAGGGGACTATCTGTATGTGACAGTAATTACTGAAAGGTTTTTAGAAGACTTGTGAATTCCATGTATGCATGTCTTGCAATGAAATAGTGTTTGTATAGGTTGAATTGTGGTTACTCTGCCTAAAACCCCTAAACATTCCTCACCAGACGATTCCGATGAATACAACCGAGAGCTGGAGAAGTTTACCATTGAGAATGAGGAGCAACCCAAGTGGTTTACTGCGCCCTGGCTCTACGCAGAGTGCTACATGTATGCCAGAATTCATGAGGCCTTCTATTTGTGGTGGGTATTGCCCAGGAATATATATGGAAAGGACACATTGATTTAGAATTTAAAAGAGGGAAAAAAAAAAAATCATTTTTGATATTCGTGTTATATGTATTCCTAGTGTCTGTATAACTCATTCAGGTGCATTTTTGTGCTGGTAATATGTTAGCTATAATGTTAAGAGCCTCCTAGATTTTTATCAACTAGAATTGACAAACACACTTGATTAATACTGTATCCATTATGTATAATTACTGTCACCGCTCACATAAATTAGCCCAATCTGACTCCCCCCCCTGGCAGTGATCCGCTGAGGGGATTCGACCCGTTCCTAGTGCAGAAGCAGAAGGCTCTCGTTGACTCCAAGGGGGCTGTGGACTGCCTGAGTAAGCGAGTCATGACAGCATGCAACTCCGTCAGTAATTTTACGCAACAGTTACTTAAGCAGTATGTCATTCAGCTCTTGGAGGTAAGGGCCTTGTCATTAGAAAGGAAGGAAAATGTTTTTAGAAGGAGTAGAAATGTTGTTTTGGGGGTATTGTGTGTATATATGAGTGGAATGTAATTTGTTTTAGTTTTTCATAGGGTGTAGATAACATGTTAATAAAAACTGTAGAGAAATAGTGAATGAAGGAGCTCAAGGATTTTTTTCTTTCTTTCTTTCTTTCTTTCTTTCTTTCTTTTTTATTACACAGTTCATAGGCCTTTTTTCATGAAAATAATCCCCTGTACAGTTGATGCACATGTTTTAATATCCTTTCCAGTTCTGGAATGTCTGGAATGAAGTACAGGTCTTGTAATAACTGTTTTATATCATCTCTAAGGATCTCTCAAGGTCTTATTACTTTTTGATATTTGATTAATGACTTTCAGTTGCTGGGAAATGTAAATATAAATGTAGGTAGCCATTAACCCTTTTACACTTGGGGGTGTCAACCACAGAGTCAGCCAAGGTATGGGCTTGCTACACTGAGTGGCTGTGTGTGAGATTGCACTGTACCAGTTTGGTAAATTCAGTCATTATGCAATCCTGTTCCTGATTGCCTTATTTAGAGAAATGTGAAAGAGCAAAGGAGTTATCAGACCACATTGGAAAGCTGTATCTGTGCTTGAAGATGCACGTGTGTAACTTTTCATTACTCTATAGTATACCTTGTAAGTGAAGCCACACAAAGTTACGTTGGCTGCCTTCATGCCTGGGCTCTGTCCAGAAACCTTGCCGGGAAGTACAGCTCGATGCTTGAGTGCAGTGAGATAAAGATGAAGGTCCTCTTTCTTGTCTAACATGTATTTTATTATGATGTGTATATCTTCTGCCAGGACAATTTGTATTGCCAGAAACCTGGGTAATTGTCTGTATTTTATGAATTCATTATTAACTCCTTAATTATGGCTCCATTTTTTCTCATCAAGTCTGATTTACAAAAAGCAGCCAGCATATGACTTTTTCAAGAATAGTAAGTATGCTTTGCGATGGAGGTAAACATGTGCTCATTTGCTAGAAAAAAATCACCTGGCAAAATCTGTCATCCAAATGAGTGAATTTTATACTAAAAGTGTAGAGTGATCAAAACATAATATGAAAATGTTGAATAATATCTCTACAAGAAACAAGATCTTGTACACATTTATTCCCCACTTTATATGTAGAATCTGAGAATAATACACACACACAACCACCACAACTGCTACCATTACCCTCGTACCCGGCCATAGAGAGGTTGATCGTCCCATGTTTGCCTTACCGAGGTCTACTCATGTGATAACCTACACTTTCCCGTCTCTAGGCACTCTCCCTCTACACCAGCGGTTCTTTACCTGTTTACTACTGCACCCTCTTTAGGAATTTGTCCTTCCCCCCCACACCCCCTTGCATCTATAAAATTCCCTTCCAGATTTTAAAGAAAATTTTATATATATTCTTAATCTTTTTATTGAGTATGTGAATTAGTCACATTATTGTTAAACTTCTCATTATTTGACCATGCTCTCATTTAGAGATTAACAAATATGATTAGAGAAACTCCTGCTTTTTCCCCAAGGGTTTGCGCCCCCCTTGGAAATTACTGATGCCCCCAGGTTAAGAACCACTGCTTACACTTACTCTGAACTCATTGGCATGTGCACCTTGTTAGTTGTAAGGAAAGGAAATGGCTGCTTCCTTGGTTAAGGGTTTAATGTTTTTGTGAAATATTTTGTCCTAAATTGTTAATAATGTCTGTGGCACTGATATTGACATTTCTCCTGCAAGGTCTGTCTATGGGGTAACAGGTGCGACCTTAGTATATCTGGTGGTGCGGACAGAGCGCAAGAGTCCGATATCTTCAGTTCACTAGACAAAATGCGACCGCAGATCCTCGACAACAATGCTGATTTGCTGTGGCAGCTCTTAGTGTCACTGCCGGAGGACCAGAGAGATCTAGGTAAGCGATCAGTTATTCTGCTGCTGCTGTCTTTTTTTTTTCTTCCTCTTCTACTACTTCTTCTTCTTCTTCTTCTTTTTCTTTTACTGCTTCTTCTTCTCCTCCTCCTCCTTCTTCTTCTTCTACTTCTTCTTTTCTTTTCTTTTTCCTGAAATCCTTTTGTGGTTTGTGATAAGTACGCATTCAGGCTGTTATACAAATGTTAATCTTTGAATATAAATTTTTGTTGTATCAAACATTAGTAAGGGTTTTGTTGGGTAATATTCACTGATGATATGGCGATGTGGACTTTGGGGATGTTGTGATACAAGGGATAATAATGATTGAGAATGCTAGACATATTTTTACCTAGTTAACTGTCCCTAGGTGAGTGTATCATGGCAGATCTAAGTCCGAAATGATGGAAGCATGTATGCAGTGTGGGCCAGATGTACCACTCAGTTGTTACTATATATCTGCTTACTTGGAGATTTTACTGAATGGCGTTCATGCAGTGTTAACTCATTTTTTGCAGTTTTATGTTGAGTGAATTTTGTTGCCCGCAGATGATTCCACAAGCTTTTTTTTTATGCTGTGAATACAAATACTGTTATTATTATTATGGATATAATTATTATTCATATTATTAGAATAACAATAAGAAATGATGGAGGATCTTTCTGAAAATCAAGGAAAAGGGTAAACAGATGAGATGGGTAGGCCTGATAATTGATTCCTTGGTGACTAAGCACTTATGGAGTCATCTCTGGATAAACATAATCAATAAGCTAAAATTACAGTGGACACTGCATGTATTTTTGCCTTCTGAGGTCATTGGGTTAATATGCTTGAACCTGAACATGATTACAGTAGTGAAGCAGCTTTTTGGATTGACTTTTGTTTTTGTAATGCATAAATTCTTCCCGGAATTTTTCTGATATTTTCCTTTTGTGAATGTCTGTTGCTCTCCTTTTTTTGTTTGTTGGTTGTGTGTAGAGAGCGCATTTTCAGCTGATACAAATTAATGAGAATATAGTTGTTAAGAGTTAGAGTTGAGGTCAGTTGATTTGGGCAATTGAATTGGCATGTTTGTTTCACCTTGTTTTTTTATGTTTGTTTCAGTGACTTATTTTTTTTTTATTTTTCATTATTGTCATTATTTTATTTATTTATCTATATTCAAATAGTGGCCTACTTCCTTCCCTCCAGTGTTAGTGTTAGACAACGCAGGCTTCGAGCTGGTGAGTGACCTCTGCTTCCTGACATTCCTGATGGAGTCGGCGCTGGCCACGTCCGTCACCATACACACCAAGACGCGGCCGTGGTTTGTGTCGGACACCTTGCACTCCGACCTGATGTGGACCATCGAGAAACTTAGGTATGGAGGTGAAGGAGATGCACGGGGGAGTTGCTCTGATTTTTCTTTCATTTAAGGGTTTTCAATTGTTTTTTTCCTTGTTTTTTGTATTTTGAGAAAAAGAAAGACTAAAGAAGAGAGAGAGAGAAAAAATTCAGTAATCCATCTTATTTTTCTGGTTTTATTATTTCTTTTATTTCTCATTTTCTTGCGGCAGAGAGTTTGGAGACTCCAATGCCGAGATGGCCAACAAGTGGGCGAATTATCTGTCGTCTGGCCAGTGGAAAATTAGCGAGAACAAGTTCTGGACGCAACATCACGACTTTGCCTCCATGAATGAGGTCGACCCACGGCTCTACTCTGAGCTCTGCAAAGCGTCCTTAGTTATATTTAAGGTATGAGGCCTGTGGGAAGAAGGGGGAAGGGGAGTTTTAGGTCAGGAGAGCGAAAATAGAGTTCGGACTGCTTTTGATTATCTATGTATATGGAATATTGAAAATATGAGGACCTGATAAAGGAAATTAGAGACCATAAAGAAAGGTTTAATCCCTCCTCCTCCCCCCCCATCAGTGAATTGTTACGAGAAAAAAGGAGGATAAAATTGCCATAGAAATAATCTCGTCCTGGAGATCTTTCCTTGGCGTTGTAGCTTTCACGTGTCAGGGCAAGAACATTGTTCACAAGCCAAAATTAAGCCTGTTGTCTATTTTAGTGTTTCATTATTTATAACCTATTGTCGTCTTTGTCATGAGAAGACTTTATGAAGGATCTTTAACCCATTAATGGCAGACAGGCATGGACAGTCATTGGCACTTCCAACCACACACACCCAATGCTCCTCAACAAATGTTATCTGGTGACATTGTTTGGCAGCCAATTAAAACCTGCGATGAGCTAAGACTCTCTGGGTTTTATCATTCTTAAATACATATTGATAGTGCTAAGTAGCTAAATTCATATTGAAACCCTTGCACCATGTCACCCTTACAAGGAAATTGCAATATATTGTTGTAAGACAGGGAGATACAGTTGAGAAATCATATGCAGAATGCCAACAACACTAGTATTGCCATTCAGCTATAGTTTCCATAGTGAGTGTGAAAGGCAAAGCAAAGCAGAAAGGACAAGTAAACATTAAACAGGGCTTTCGAGATGTAAGCAATGTGACTTGTAATGCAAGGGCAGTTGACTTAATGTGTAAGGGACATGGAAGATATGGGGGTGGGATTAGGTACAGGGGGATGGGGGAAGAGAGGAAGTGGGGAAGAGGAGTAAGAAAGAGAAGGGGGCAAGGAGGATGTAGGAAGGGAAATAGAGGAGCAGGAGAAGGAAGAGGGAAAGGATAATGAGTTATGAGGTTTGGATATGTGCAGATGAAGTAGTGATCACCATTATGATGCTTTGTCATAAGAAATAATATTGGAGCCCATTGTGTCAGTAAGAATGATAACAATATAGATATTAATAGCACTTCCTGAAAACTTGATAAAAGGGAAATTAGGTGATTGACCACTTGTGGAACCCTCTGTGTGCAAACAAAATTCACAAGGCAAACTACAGTGGACAGTACACCTCCCTGGTGACAGTGAATTAAGATGTTAGCAATTTGCCTATTACAGGATTTACTGTAGCTGTTCACTTAACCCAATGGCGCCGGGTGTACAAAACAAAAAAAAAAATCTACGCTTAAACAAACAAAGGCGGCACGCCGACTTTGAGTGCGTGAGTAGGGGACATCAGCCCGAATCACTGGCTCGCCGCGCTTTCGAGCGCTTTGTTTACACGCCGATCGGCGTCACCCGGCACCAAGGGGTTAACTGTGTAGTTGAGTATAATCTATGTAGAGTAGTATTATTGTATTTATTGTATAGATTTTTCAATGCATAATTCAGTAATACAGTAAGTCCCCAACTTAAGAACATAATTGGGACCGAAAGGCTGTTTGTAAGTTGATTTGTTTGTATGTTGAAAGTTGGGTCTCCATTACCTTTTCTCCCATTGTTTTAAAGTTTTGTTTAAATTAAGAGTACCTGTAAATAAATCCCAATAAGTACGACATACCTTATACAGTACCAGACTCTTGAACTATATTCATGCCTGGGAAATTTGAAGTTTGCTAGCATCTTTCAAACAATTTTTTGGACTTTAGTACTTAAAAAATTTTGTTTGTATATATGGAATGTTCATAAGTAGAATGTTCTTAAGTAGGGGACTATCTGTACTGAGAGATTACCAGGAAAAGGAAGATATTGCATTGAAAGGATCTGTTAATTAGTCACAGTAAAGAATATTTCACTGGTAGCTTCCATCACGAGAAGGTGGTTAAAGTCCCCACAATGCAAGAAATGTTTGAGCACGAAGAGAGTACTGACTCGTCCTTTTCTTCCTCAGGGGGACCTCAATTACCGCAAGCTCACGGGCGACCTGGACTGGCCAACGAACTCGAGCTTCCAGCGCGCCCTCCGGGGTTTCTCCCCAGCCCCGATCTTGGTCCTGAGAACAGCCAAGGGAGGGCCGGTGGTAGGCCTAGCCCCAGGGGTGGCAGAGAGAACGGCTGCCGTTGCGAGCGACTGGAACATCAGCGGGGATTATGGCTTGATCCAGCTGTGCACTGGTTCTTGATCTGCTCACAACGCTAACTGCTGTTTTCCTTCACTGTCCTTATTGTTCATGTGACGTGTACCTCCTTTAGCTCTTTCTGTTTCTTTTTTTCTCTTCCTTCTTCCTCTTCTTTTTTCTTCTTCTTCATCTTCTTCTTTCTACATAAATTTTGGACATGAAATTTTGGACAAAGGTGAGACTTGTAGAGAGTAAGAGAAAAAAGAGAGACGAGATGTTGAGGTCCTTAGTTGTGTCAGATCTATTTTTTTCGTTTCTGTTTTATGTTCTTCAAGAAAATATATATATATATTTAGCTTTTGGTGTCCCTGTGTTAGTGGAGGGAAGTGCTATCCATTGACGTAAAACTTTTCGACAAGTGCATTATACCGATTGTCTGGCAATATACTCTTTATTTTGTAAATACACATTTGATATATATTTATATTTTTAATGACTGTAGTTTTTGGTCAAAAATGTATAGAATTTTTGTTATGGTCTCAGTGTATTAAAATCAGTCTAAAGACTTGGTTTATATTACATGTAGAGGAAGTCAAACCACTTACTGTGGGGAGGTAGATACTGGATAGTGCATTATTTGATATTCAAAAGTTAATGTTATTTGCAATATTTATTTGTATGATGGAAAAAAACATTGTCCTTTGAGTAACAGAGGAAGATGCAAAATTTGAACAACTTAACATCATTACAGCCCTTGAACTCCAGTTAGAAGATCAGTCTTTTCCTTGTGGAATGTTTAGCTTGCGAGAGTTTCAAGGGAAAGGAAATTTTCCGAACACCCCTTTTGTGCTAGGACTAACATAGCTTAGAGCTTTTGATTACCAATTGTGATTTCAAGCTTATAAACGGCACTACCCTTTACCCATACAATACCCAAAATACCACTAGAATGACATAGTAATAACCATGACCCCATGTGTAATGATATCAAGAATCCTTACCATACCCTTAACTCCCTAAAACACCAGCACACCAGAAACCGAATCTCCGTAACCGCAGTCACACCCTGTCATAGATCAGTTCAGTTCCCCTAAACTGTGTGTGTGACTGTAGACCAACACCCACTCCCCGACGACTTTAATCCGAGATGTGACCTTCAACCTGTACAATATCCTATACCTCATGCACTGCCTTCCGTCACTCTCGAATCCTGTCTCGCATTCCCCCCCCCCAGTGCACTCCTAAGGAACCTCCTTGTCACTGCCTAGGTACCTATGCACCTCTCCGGAGCGCATTAAAGTGATTGTGCAACAATGCTGTCTATGTGTCTCGATAATGCTTGCGGATGCACAGTGCAACCTGGAGTATTCCTGTCGTGGCATCACAGCTCTGTATGTTTTAGTTAATTTATTTTTTCCTTCTTTATTGCATTCTAACTTGGTGCACATTCATTCAGATGAATTCCAACGTTTTTAGCTAAACTTCTCAGCTACTCTTATTGCCGTTGTTGTAAATCTACATGAATGATGGGTTTCTATACCTCTCTCTCTCTAACACTTGTTGCTTTGGCTTTTAAAAGAAAAAAGAAAAAGTCCAACCCCATTATGGCAAATGGTATAGAAGCTCCTACGTCTGTCATGTTTGGTGATGCTGACCCCCCCACAGGATGTTGCAATTCCTCTCGCCTGGGCACGCCGGTGGGGACGGGGAAATGCGCAGTAGGCAGCTGTCTGTTTGTACGTGTTGTGTGTCGTCATGCAGGCGTGTGTTGTCACGCAAAACTGTGTCTGCGACGGTTTCCTTTTTCACATTTATATATGCTTCATAGAGTTACTAGGAGATGGAGTGAAAGCAATCCCACTTATTGTATAGCTTGGCAATGGGTCATGTTGCTGAAACCCACCAAGATATTGGTTTGGGGTATTTGGGGAGATGGAGAATTAGAAGACGGGAAAATAAGAAACATTGATTTATAAAGAATGTTTTATTTATCCCCTATTATTTTTGTAATTTGTTTTTTCTTGTTACTTGACCTTTTATTTATTTTTTTATAACAAAGGACTAGATACGAGGGATATGATTAGGTAGTGAAATGAAAGATGATAACAGAAGGGTTTACTGGAGTAAAATAACTAAGAATACTCTAAAAAAAACAAAATAATAATAGAAATTGAAAATTATATATATGGAAAAAAAAAAAAGTAAAATAAACTTTGTTCTTGATGATTAATAAAACAATTTCCTTACTGCCCCCTTACTGCCCCTTTAAATATTAGTATTTTGAATAATAAACATAATCTTTTAAATCTTGACCAATACGCAAGCCAATGTACGTATATGTTAAAATGTATATATAGCTAAATATTTAGTGTTACTGTAATTTCAAAACTACATGTTTAGTATATTGGCATATTAAGAAGAAAATTTGTAGAAATGAGTAATAGTAACCCCTTCCCCCTCACTACCTTACTCATTATTGCCAAGGGGGGACAGGAGGTGGAGACTGAGGCCCAATGTAGGGGTCGCCCTGTCTTCGACCTTAGCCCTCACCTCGACTAGTTTTGCATGGTCTATCCTCCTTCCCTTTTCCTTCTCCTCTTTATCTCTCCTACTGACCACTTGTTCTAATCATTAACTCATTTTTACCCTTTTTTGCCACAATACTTTGTCATAATCCTGTGTGAATTTTGATGTCTGGCCCATGTGTTTGTTTTTACCATTGACTATTCTGGAAATCCACAAACATACACGAACATTTTTGCTAATCAAAAAGCCCCCACCCTATCGATATATTTTGAATACACCACTAATGACCTTAGATGTTGGCATGGCAGGAAAATTCAGTGAATATAGAAAGTAAATAGTAACCCATTAGCTACAGCTAATTTATACTATTCTGTGCTATTGTTTTATTAATGCCATTCCCACTGATGGTTTCACAAGCACTTTTGTCACCAAAGAGTCCATTAGAAGGTCCACCTGAAGTCAGTTATCTGTTTGCCCCATTCTTTTGAGGAAAAAAGACATTTCCATTACTATTATCATCCTTGTTAATGACATTCTAATAACATATCATTATAATAACCTTATTAATATTATTAATAGTAATAGTAACAAATATAGAAACCTTTCTTTCAGATATTTAAAGGAATGGGGTACTTAGCAATTGCCTTCATTGTGACAAAGTTCTTGTGAAGCCCTCTATTTGTAAATAAAATTAAACAAAGCTAACCACCAGTAACATGACTGTCACATTGAAAAAAAATTAGCTGTGAGTTGGGTGACATGAATATGCCATCATGGAAGATTTTAGCTCAGGGCCGGAGTGATGGAACAAAGTGGACAAAGCTCCTGAAGGAAGTTTAGATTCAGTGGGCATTTAGGTAGTGGCTTTTTATTTATTTCCTGTAGTGAATGAAGGTGAAATGTTGAGGCTGTAAGGAAACAATAGTTTTTTTTTTTTTACTGTATGAAGGTGCATGTCTTGGCAGTGATGTGGCAGATGATAAAGTGGCATGCAACTGATCATCTAAAATTACTAGAATCCGAACTAGAAAATTAACTGTATTAATTGTATCGACAGTAGAAAGAACATCTTGACTGTGCAAGGGATGTATTTGACCGATTTTGTTTATATCTCTGTCAGAAATACATCTATTTCTGATGAAGATTTAATCAAAACCAGTCAGATACTTCCCTTGTTTACATTTTCTACCTGATGTAATAGGAATGATAGTAATGAGGAGGAAGAGGAGGATAAAAAAAAAATGAAATAATAGTTATAATGATGATGATAATAACAATAACATTAGTAATTACAACACCAAGAATAGTAATAGTAATAATAATAATAATAATAAAAGTAATGATAATAGTAATGATAATAATAACAATAATAATAATAATAATAATAATAACAATAATAATAATAACAACAACAATAACAACAACAACAACAACAACAACAATATGAGCAATGATAAGTGAGAAAATGGTAGAAATAATAATAATGATAATAACATAGAGGAGCATGGAAATAATGATAATGATGATAAAGATGATGGTAGAAAATCTCACAATACACAAACTAAATTCGTTTAAGATAAAGTATAATAAAAATAATGATAATAATAATAGTAATGATAATAATAATAATAATTTATGACGTAATAACTAATAATAATAGTAATAATAACAATAATAGTGATAATGATAACGACAACAAAAACAATAATGATAATAATAACTAATAATAATAAAAATGACAGTAAAAATTATAATGATAATGATAAGAAAAATGATATTAATGACAATAATAATTATTGATATTATTATCAATAATGATGAAATAATAATAATAATAATAACAATAATGATGATGATGATGATAATAATATAATAATAATAATAATAATGATTATATTGATAACAATAGTAATAATAACAAAAACAATAATAGTAATAATAATAATAATGATAACAGGAATGATAATGCTAATAATGATAATAATAATAATAATAATAATGATAATAACAATGATAATAATAATGATAATAACAATAACAATAATTATTATTATAATGACAATAATAATTATTATAACAGTAATAATAATAATAATAATAATGATAATAATAATAATAATGATAATGATGATAACAACAACAAAAATAATAATAGCAATGATAATGATTATAATAATGATAAAAATAATAGCAATAATAATACTAATAATAATAATGAATAATTATGATGATAATAATAATACTAATAAAAATAATAAAGATTATCATAATAATGATAATGAATGTAATTCGTCGACCCACGCTCTGAGAAAACCTGGATTGATTTTACATATGGTGGTAAGGTGGTGTCCAGCTGTCACTGAATATGTCCATCTTCGCCCCCAACCCCGTTTCTTTCAACATAATTCCCTCCTGCCCTCTCCTGGATGATCACGTGACTCCCTTCTGTTGCAACAGTATCCTTCCCCTTCGTGACGTTCATCCTGATAATTCACCTTCCCCCTTTTTCTTTGTCTCATTCCCCGGGTTCTTCTCCTCCTAATTCACCGTCACCCATCTCTACCCTAATTACCCGTTGAGTACTTCAGAACGATTCTCTTTTAGTCCTCTACATTCCCCCTCTTACTAAATCCCGGTCTAGCTCCGTTTGCGTCTTTCTCTCTTTCTCTTTATCCCTTTCACTACTGTACTATCTTATAGTGTTTGATATCCAGTGTAATTTTCTTCTAATAACTCATTTCTACCCTTTTCCCTACGATGTGTTGTCATAGTGCTATATGACGTATGGTATCTAGCACATTTATTTGATGTAAACCATTAACCATTCGCCATAACATGAGCGGGAATGCTGAAGTACGTGTTTGAGCTCAGATTTTGGATTGTATTACGTGGGGCAAGGGGACTTTGTTGTATTTTATGATTAATGGTTAATAGTCAAACAAAGAAATGCTCTAGACATCAAGGTCATGGTAAAGTACAGTAGCGAAAAGAGTTGGGAATGAGTTAATGATGAGAGTAAAGTTAAAGGTTTAAACAGTACTAGAGGGTAGTATAGTAGTGGAAGGGTAGAGAGGGTGAGCCGATGGGGTATAGTATCAGGTTGTTAGAAGGGAGAGGAGTTAAAGGGGGTAGGACAAGGAGATCAAATGGAGGATATTCATGCGTCTGACGAAGGAGAACAAATTGTCTAAGGAAAAGGTGGGGAATTCCGAGAGGATATCCAAAAGGTTGAGGCGTCGGGGAAGTGAGAATAAGCGAGGAAAAGCTGAGGTACAGGTTGTAGTAAAGCGGGGACAGGAAAGTAGGATTTGTGGGACTGAAAGAAGAAAACATTGCAGGGGGAGCTTAGAGGTGGATCAGATTGTGACATGAAATAGGAATGTATGAGGCGAGTGTCTCCAATGCGCAAGCGGGCAAGAGCAGTCTCCCAGCGTCTATTATAGGAATGGAATTGACCAAAGGGGAGATGGAAGGTTTTACGTTATGTAGTTTATTAGGGGTAAGGCTAGACCAGAAAGACGGCCAGCGGGTGAAGAGGAAGGTTTTAGAGTGAGGGTAGTAATCAGAGGCTGGTTTATGTTAAAATCTGGGTTGATGGAATGTGGACATGGCGGCGAACTGTGCTAGTGTATCTGTTCATTGCCGGGGATCCTAATATGGCTGGTATCAAGTAAAATCTGACAGTTTTGTGTTATATTGTTAGATGGAATAGTTGGTCCTGAATATTGTGGACAAGAGGGTTGGTTGGCTGTAGATATTGCATAAGAGAGAGTTTTTCGAGTCGATAAAAAAATGTGAAGGATAAGGAAGGGAGAGAAGACATGCGTTCTAATGCAAAGAGGATCGCGTACAAATGTTGCAAGGACGCTGGATTCAGGTGAAAGTGGAGAGTTGAAGGCATAGGAAGGAAAGATTATAGCAAACCTAGCATCAGAGAGGGATTGGAGTGTTGGAGGAGTAGGTTGAGGCACGGCTGAGAAAATGGGTCTGATTTTGGTGTATTAGGGAAAACGGAGCAGATGCGAGAGGAAGGTATAAGCCATGGTAGGTATTTATGAGTAGAAAAAAGGTAGGGGTCGGAGGTGAAGATAGGGTGAATAGGACAGGGAAAGGAGTAGGTAGGAGGTAAAGATACGAAGAAGGGACTGAGGGACATTTAGTTTAGAGAGAGAAAATTGACGAAAACGTGTATAGTTCCAGGAAGGTATAGGCTCTCAACCAAAGAGGAGCGGAAGGCGCCGAGGGATAAGCGTAGACCACAGTGGTGGATAATATCAAGGTGAGTGAGAAGAGAGGTAGAAACAGAGGAATAGAAATGACAGCCATAGTCAAGAGTGGAGAGGATCAGTGAAGTATGGATATGGAGGAGGTTTGCGGTCTGAACTTCAGGATACATGAGAGAGAGAGTCTGTAGAAGTCGGAGGTGGCGGCGAGTTTTCTCTTTGGTGTAGTGG